GCGAGATGACCCAGAGCCAAAGAGATCCACAACCAAAAGGGGACGATCTCCCGGATGGTCCTCACCTATATACTGGGCATGATGTGTATGTTATGGAATAGATTATTGGCCACTCTGGCTCTCAATCCTGAACCTAAGATCAAATCCTGGGCTAGTAACTGGGGCTTTGCTCCCTCCGAGCTTCTCCGGTCTGCTGACCTTGACAGCGGTGAAAACATCACTTCTTATCAGCTTTCTTCTGAGCACAAATGCAAAACACAGCCTCTTGCTAGCTATTATGAAGAGTTAACTCTGTCTCAGCTCAACCCAGGACAACCAGACATTTACTTAAAGTGGTCTGAGCTGTCACAGCTGCGTTTAGAACAAGTGCCTTTGTAACAGATCTTCACACTTTATAACTTTTCTCCTTTCTCAAAGATTTATTTTAGCAAATCTTTTCCACTATTAACTGTTCATGTTCTTCAGATGTGATTTTCTTTTTGTTAATTTTGTTTTGGTTTTTTAATTATTTTCTTTTGTTTTTATTCTTTTCTTTTGTGTATTAATTGAAATACTGATGGATCACAGGGATGAAATAGTCTAATGTCAATATTGTGGATCTAATGCTTGCAAGATAGAAATTATAGTGTGTATCTCCTGAGTGGGAATTTCTTACATAAATATGCACACCAATCCTGCTGCATGCTGTTCTGATCTAAGTTTTTTCCTTCAGCTGACAGGAATTACAGGGTTCTACAATTTGTGAAGTTACCTTCAGATAATGCAAACAATGTGCTTTTTATCCATAATGTGTTAGATCTTAAAGATATCCATGTGATATTAACCATTATTCATACCTCAGAGAAACATGTGTGTGTATTAACCTCTCTGCTTTTTCCTAGATGGTATCATGGAACAATAAGTCGGACAGATGCAGAAAACCTATTACGTTTATGTAAAGAGTGTAGCTACCTTGTAAGAAATAGTCAAACAAGCAAGCATGACTATTCTCTTTCACTAAAGTAAGTATTTGTCAGTAAAACATAATAAATGTAATTTATAAGCCATAACTTCTCTGGTGCAAGAACAGAAAATGATCCAGTCTGTTGCTGCTCTGATTTAGGTCAGAAGGGCACAGTTTGAGACTGTCAGTCTGCATAATGTATAGTGACAGTCACTGAATTAGAATTTAGTAATCTGGGGATGCTAAGAGATTTTTGGTCTTCATTTGGTGCCCATTTAAATAAATTAACTGGGAGGGTTTTTTGTGGTTGTGATTTGAAATGCTCCTGCTGCTTCTGCTTCAGACTGAATAAGCAACTGCATTGTTTGAGGATTTTATTCCTTTTGCTTCATATATGGAAGGAAAGCTTTGTGTGTTTTACTATGGTACAGCTGTAAAATATTGCTAGAATTCTTGAAAGTAAAAAGACCAGGATCAAGGATGAAAGATTTACAGAATTAGGAAATGAGCATTGTTCCAGTCTTACTGCTGCTTTGAACTTGCCTCACCTACCTTAGGCTGATCAGGGTATATTACAGATGTTGGCTTTGACATATCATAGAACAGAAACATAGAATGGTTTGAATTGGAAGGGACCTTCAACGATCATCTGGTCCAACCCTCCTGGCATGGGCAAGGACATAAGCTCACTTGTATTTCCGGCAGAGGAAAGTTTCCAGGTTTTCAATGCAGGAAAACAAAAAGCCCCTTGACCTTGGTATAGGCTTGGACAGCCTATACCAGGGTCTGCAAAGAGAATTGTTTCCTTTCTCTCGTTCTTACAGGATAGGGTCTGATGTGGAACCTACTTTTCAAGTAGCTCTGGGACACAGGCCTACTTGCCTATTTTACTGATGGGATGATGGTAATACTTGATGGTAACAACATAATACTTTCATGGACAGCACCAAACCTGATCCTTTTTACATTCTTAAGTTCATTAGAAATAAAGGGCCACATCTGCTCTACCCTGGTTTAGTGTGATAGTCTAAACAGTGAATTTCAGATTGGTTTTATATCCCCACCTTGGGTTCAGTAGGAGTGCATCTATTAACCTAGTTTTAAGATTCTGTTTTATGTCTTAAGAAAAATATTTTGTAGGACTGTTTTTTATATCTGAGTTCCTTTGCTATTATTGTTGGGAACTCTCTGTGATACAGAGGTCCACGTTGAACCGGAACACACCCGCTTTAGAAATCTGGTTCAGCTCCCATCGTCCCTTTTGTCCTTTGATCTGTGTATTCTCTGATATGGTAGCCCTCTAGGTATTTTCAAACATTGAAGTGTGTAGTCGACCAGCGGAGTTCTTTGTAGTCAGCACAAGGAGTTCTTTCCAGTCAGCACGCGAAGTTCTTGGACACCACCCAGACGAGCCAATTATGATGAAAGTGAAAGCCATTTGTTGTGTGTTGCTCACGTGCTTTTATACAGAACTCTTTCAGATTTGGCAGCTACTAACTGGATACAGTAATTTTAAATTCTTAACAACAAAATCACTATTGGCTACTTTCGATCCTGGGAACATAATTTTCGGAGCTATGTGAACACAATCTCTGAGATAACTTAGTTGTAATAATTAATTTCTCTCAGTTTCTCCTTATCTTTCTCATGTCCTGTATAACTGGATACCTCTGCACATCTGCTTACTTTTCTTCTTTCCCAGGATCCTCTATCAACCTTATAATTACAAAGCCTAAAGTTAGTATCATAGTTAAAATTCTACTTCAGCACAAAATGCCCCTACAGAAGTGTTAATGCTTGAGATACACGTAGGGTTAAGTTTTCCCATAAATTCTTGTAAGTTTGGAATATGACATTTGTTTTTAAGTATTTAATTTAATTCTTGAATTAGTGCAGTGATTTTTATTCTCCAACCAGAGCCAACCTCAAGAGAAAAAGGTGGCAGTTAAATTTATATTTTGCAACTTTGGACATCTAGATACAGGCCCTTAATGTCCTTTTGCTTGTAGTAGTCCCTTTGCATGTTGTATTCTGAAGTTTTCTAAACCAGATTTCCTGGTGATACTTATATTAAGTCTCCCCGTATCTTGCTCTATGATAAGGTAGCTAAATGACTGACCTCCTCCAATCTATGTTTTCTGGAACACAGAGATTCTTTCAGTACTCTTCAACTCTCTGCCATACTAGTGCTGACTCTGGCCTGTTGATGCAGTGTATTAACTCCGTATACCAGCTGCCTGTGATTAGTGATTGTTTCCCTGTGGCCCCTCCAAAGCTCACATAATCCTCTTAAGCCCATAATATTGCAGTTAGAATTCACATTCTGTCTATTATCTGGTAACCAATTTTCTTTTTTTTCCAGGAGCTCTCCTACCATCCTGCAAATGTAATCAGTATTTTCTCTCAAAGTATCTAGCTGAATAAAGGATCATTTAATCACATTTAAGTTACCATGCAAATCCAGTTCCTTTGCTAGAAACCTGCTTCTGTGTTACTTGCCATCTCACTGACCTTTATCACCTGCAACTGAAGTTATGTTTGATGCTATTTTTCACATCTAATTTTTATTCACTGCCATAAGACTCTCTTCTCCTTTTTAGGACATTGAATTGATAATTTTTTTTTCTAATCCCATCCTTAATGAAGATGGCTTTCCAATCAAAGTAAGGTTTTGAAGAATTTTGGTGATGGCGGAGATCTTGTTATTTAAACTCAAAGAGTTAAGTAATTGGACAGTTCTCAAGGTTCACTCAGGATCCTTGGTTGACTCTTCCTCACAATCAGCCTGGCTTATGACTACTTCTAGCTGTGGGAAGCTAGCCCTTCAAAGTGCCAAACACATAATCCTATTTTGTGTTCTGATTCCCTTGCCTAGAGGCACCTAATCAGTCTGTGATGAGGTTATTTTGCACCTATGCATACTTTACCTTGAGGTCAGCCGGAAATCCCTTCAACCATTTCACTGCTGTGAAATCTTACATCCTCATTACTATTTGACTTAGAGAACATCCTGCTTCCTTCATCTTCTGTGGAAATGTGAACACAGGGCATGCCAGACCATTTCACTAGTAATGGATGGCAGTAGTGAGAACAGCTGTGTGATGTGTGACCAAGTGGATGATCTCCTCAGCCTGGTGGCAGTGCTACAAGAAGTAAAAAGGTTAAAGAGCATCAGGAAGTCTGAGAAAGAGATAGACTGGTAGAACAATGGTCTACCCTCCCTGAGACAAAGAGGAACAGCCACCAGGAAAAAAAAACAAAACAAAAAACAAAAAAAACCAACAAGATTGAGGAGATCCTTTGTTCTCCCTCAGCCAGGCAGAATGCAGTAGCTTAAAGGAAAGGAGTGAATGGAGGCAAGTGCACACTTGGTGTAGCAGGCAAACCCCCTCCTTGCCTATCTTGCTTTCCCAGGTGCCTCTGTGCAACAGGTATGAAGCTCTAGATGTGGAAGGTCAGTCAAAGGATGATGTGGATGACGATCCATTGATACCAGATATGTTGTCAAGGTCAAGGGTAGCCCCCGTATCGTGACCACCTCGATGAGGAAGAAAAGATGGGTTATACTTGTAGGTGACTCCCTTCTGAGGGTTAACAGAGGGTCCAATATGCTGGACAAACCTGGGAAGTCTGCTGCCTCCCTGGGGCCTGGGTTAAGGATATAGCTAGGAAACTTCCTAGCCTGACGTGGCCCTCAGGCTATTGCCCATTATTGCTCTTCCACGTGGGTGGCGATGAAGCTGCAACACAATGAAGCTGCAATACCTAATCTGAGGGCAATCAAAAGAGACTTCAGGGCTTTGTGACTGTTGATAATGGAATCTGGACACAGGTAATTTTTTCCTTTATCCTTCCAGTTGCATGCAGCAACATGGGAAGAAACATACAGATCTAGTCTATTAATACATGGCTCTGTGGTGGGTGTCCCTGACACCATTTCAGGTTTTTCAATAACAGGATGGTCTACACAGCACCACACCTGTTGGCATTGGATGGGATTTACTTTTCTAAAAGGTAGAAGAGTATCTTTGCTCACAAGCTAGCGAGGCTTATTGACAGAGCTTTAAACTAGATTTGTAGGGCATGGGGGATAATATAGGCTTGCCCATAACAAGCTACGGGGTGACATGCCAAGGTCAGAGGGATGGGGTGGTAGCGAGGGCCCTCGGTCTGTTGTTCTGAGATGTGCTGAGTAGACTGGAGCACACTTGAAGGCATATGGAGATAAGCCCAGGGCTCCTGAGGTAACAGTAGCCAACGAGGGAATACCAGTGAAATACTTCAAAGGAATTAAGCTGTGTTCCTCTAAGAAGGTGACGTGGCCAACAGCCCAGCTGACATGCCTCTACATCAACTCATGCAGCACAGGCAGCAAAAAGGAGGAGTTGGAAGCCACCATCCTGCTAGAAAGCTACAACCTAGTTGCCATTACTGAAATGTGGTGGAGCAAATCTTATGACTGGATTGTGGCTATTGATGACTACAGGATATTCAGACGAGACAGGTGAGGAAGAAGGGGCAAAGAAGTTACATCAACAAATGGATAGATTGTGAAGAGCTGTCTCTGAAGAATAGCCACAAGCAGATTGAAAGCTTATGGGTAAGAATTAAGAGACTGAGGCTGGGTAAGAATTAAGAGACTGAGGCAACAAAGGAAACTTTGTGGTTGGTGTTTACTACAGGCTGCCTAATCAAGGGGAACCTATTGACGAAGCCTTCTTGGTCCAGTTACAAGAGGCATCATGCTTGTAGGCTCTCATCCTGCTAGGGGACTTCAACCACCCCAACATCTACTGGAAAAGTAGTACGGTAAACTGTAGGCAATCCAGGAGACTCCTGGAGTGCATTAAGGATAATTTCTTAGGCTGGGTAATAGACAGCCCTACCAGAGGGGGTGTGTTACTGGACCTGATGGTCACCAGCATAAATGGACTAATCAGAGACATCAAGACTGGAGTCAACCTGGGCTGCAGTGATCACACACTGGTTGAGTTTGCAGTCCTGAGGGATATGGGTCAGGCAAAGAGTAAAGTCAGGACCCTGAATTTTAGGAGAGCA